CCTGACACGGCCCCCGTGGACGACAGCGTGGCCCCGGCGACGGTGCCTGTGGCTGTGAGCGCAGCGCAGGAGACTGCGCCCGAGGCGTCCACGCCCGTGGTGAACACGTCGGTGCAGTTCACGTCGTTGCACAGCAGCTGGTCGCAGCCCACGTTGCCCTGCGCGGTGAGCCCGACCAGCGTGGCCGAGCCCGTGAGGGCCAGCGAGTCCGCCAGCAGGTCCGTTACTGAGACAGACTCTCCCTCGACGGCGCTGGCCCTGATCTGCATGCTGTACAGGTCCAGCGTGCCCGCCGACTGCTGCACCAGCCCGGGGATAGACCCGCCGAAGGCTCCGAAGTGCAGCTTCGCGATTCCGCCCGGCGGCACCGAGAAGTCCGCCGTGTCCTCCTCCTCCGCCGTGTTGCCGGTCTCCAGGGTTGCGTCCAGGATCTGGAGGCCGTAAACGTCCACCGTTCCTGCCGTCTGGTTGGGCAGGCCCGGCGCCTGGAAGTGCGCCCCGAAGTGCAGCTTCGCCACTCCGTTTGGCGGCACGGTGAAGTACATCTTGGCCGTGCTCCAGGCGCCCTCGTCTCCCGCGAAGCTGCCGTACAATGGGTCGTAGACGTTGTCGGCCTCGGACATGTACACCACGAAGTTGGAGGCCGTACCGAGCCGGTAGCGGCAGGCGAAGAGCAGCTCTCGGTCGGGCGTCAAGTTGTAGGTGCGCACGATGTTCCACGGGTTCGCCGCCAGGGTCAGGGTGTAGCCGTCCACGCTCACTCCCGCGGTGTGCGTGGCCAGGACCACGCTGCAGCCGCTGCTGGGGCGAACCGTCCAGTTTGACAGCGAGACGTCTGTGGGGGCCAGGATCTGCTCTCCTATGGCGGCCACCACCTCGTCGGCCCCTCCGTCGTCCGGAAGCGCACGGCTATTTGCAGGGCCGAGGCCGCCTCCGTGACTCCGAGCTTGTTGGCAAGGAGACCGTCCACTTGTGCGATGGTGTAGTAGCTGAGCAGGGCGGCGGCGATGCTTGAGGCCGTTGCCGTGTCCTGGTCGGCGGCTGAGCGGTACGCCACCAGCGCCGAGGAGATTTGGTTGGTTGTGAACACGTCCTGGTCCGGGCCCGTCCGGTAGGCCAGCAGCGCGCCCGCGATGGCGGCTTGCGTCTGCGTGTCCTGCGCGCTCGCCGTGCGGTAGTCTCCCAACAGCGCGTCTACCTGCGCCGCGGTGTAGTTGGCCAGCAGCGCGGCCGTGATGGCGCTGGTCGTCTCCGTGTCCTGCGCCGTTCCGGTTCGGTAGTCGGCCAACAGAGTGTCCACGTGTGAGGAGGTGTAGTAGGCCAGCAGCGCAGCCGCGAGGGCCGCGTCCGCCGCTGCGACGGAGTAGCAGTCTGCCGTGATGCTCAGCGTGTCGTCGCCGTTGGCCAGCGCAGCAGAGAGAGGAGCCTCCAGATGCAGGTTGCGAACGACGTTGCTTCCGCGAAGGAGCTCCCAAGTGAAGCCCGCCCAGGCCGGCGCGTTAACAACTCCGCTGCCGGAAAGCTGCAGGGCGGCGAGCTCCGCGAGGATTGCGTCGAGGGCGCTCTGGAGCGCGGTCTCGCTGGCTGAGAGCGCGGCGTTCGTGGCGTATGAGGCCAGCAGCGCCGCGTCAGCCTTGGAGGCCTGGAGCGCCGAGATGCCGGTGTCCCGGCTAGCAAGCTGCGCTGCGACGAAGGCCTCGGTGGCAAGGCCCAGCGCTGCATTTGCTATCTTGGTGTCCACCTCCAGCGGAGTGTCCAACCCGTCCACCGTGGAGAGCAGGGTGGCCAGCGCGCTGGTGTCCGCCTTGCCGGCGAGGGCGGCGTCCAGGGCTGCCGTGGTGACTGCGTTTAGGAGGGCCGCTGCTATCTTAGAGTCCACCTTTGAGGAAGTGTCGACGGCCGAGAGCAGGGCGTAAGCTGTCAGCGCGCTGGCGTCCGCCTTGGAGGCCTGCAGCCCCGCGATGGAGGCGTCTCTGCTTGCGAGCTCGGAGGCCAGCGCTGCGGCGGACACGGCCCCCAGGAGAGCGTTGGCCACCTTGGTGTCTACCTCCAGCGGCGTGATCCTTGCCGCTATGTCTAGGGAGTGCTTGGCCGCCACCGTGGCCAGCGTGGCGTTGTTGGCCGAGGCGATGGATCCGTTCATGGCCGCCGTGGTGCTGTAGTTGGACAGTTTCAGGTCCACGCCGTCCGGGGTGCTCTTCGTGGCCACCACGCCCTCCAGCACGTCGAAGGCCGACTGGTCTGCCTTGTTGGAGAGACCCGTGGTCAGCGAGCTCTGCAGCGCTGCGATGCTGCTTCCGTGCGCGGCCACCTGTCCGTCCGTGGTGGCCAGGGCTGCCGCCGTGGCAAGAGGCGCAATTGCCGGCGCCAGCGCGCTGCTGTCCAGCTTTGAGGCCAGCTCTGCGGTGACCCGGTCGTCCAGGGACTGGATGGCCGCTGCGTTGTTGCCGGAGGCTGCCGTATTCACCGCCAGGTCCGTTACTTGCGCGTAGGGCGTCAGAGCCAGGGCCAGCTGCCCTGCGGTGACGTGCGTGCCGTCAGTTACCTCTCCGTTGTCCAGGACCTCCGGGATGTTGCCGGTGACAGGTCCTTCAAACATGTTTACATATGTTTTCGCCGACGCCTAAGTCCAGTGGCTAAGGCGTCGGTCAAGGAACTGAGCGCTTCTTACTCCACGCGGCTCGATTCCTGCCCGGACGGCGAGTTGGGTACGGGGCTCAACACGTCAACCACTGCGCCACTCAAGAAGACGGGAGGGATCCTCGGGGAGCGCCTGCGCCCATACAAGGCCAGAAACAGCCTGCTCACGCTCCGTGTTCACCCCCAGGTCCTGCTCGATGTACTTCTTGACGGGGATCCAGCCATCATCGATGTTGACGCTTGGGCTGATGAGCGCCACAGTTTTGCCCGACATGCTGGGCCCAAGGAAGATGCCCGTGCATGGCACCAGGGGCACCACGGGGTCCGAGGCTTGCTTGCTGGTGTACTCAGGCGTGGGGAAAAGCTTGATCTTCCCCATTCGTCCTTTTGCGTTACGCAGTTCCGGAAGCCGGCAGCTGAAGTACCGTGGAGGCCCCTGCTGCAGCGGCGACGTTTTTGCATTTAGACCCAAAACTTGGCCCGGGCAAAGAGAGGTTGTCATTGAACGTTCTCCCTTCACTAGAAATTGCCACGCGCGTGTTGGAACACGCGCCACCGCCCCCCCCTCCAGACTTTCATTGCATGGAACAAGGCAACTTTTACACTCGCCTGAGACTTTTACACTCGCCTGACATTGAAATTGGGGCTCAAGACTAGACTTGTCAACCACCCTCGCCTGCCACAGCGCCTCAAGACTCGCCAACGCACGGGCGCCAACTGTGCTCGGCGCGTGGTTCTGACTTTAATCGTTATCTAGTCGTCATCTAGTCGTTATTCTAATTATTCTAGTCGTTATTCTAGTCGTAATTCCACGAAACCACGTAAAACACAATTATTCATGAACTGGCTCTGGCTTGAAAGGAAAATGCCTTTCTTATCTCTCAATATTTTTTTGGACTACCGACTAGGAAACGCTTGAGGCTTCCGAATTCACGACTAGAATAACGACTACAAAACGATTAGAATAACGACTAGAATAACGACTAGAATAACGACTAGAATAACGACTACAAAACGATTAGAATACCGACTAGAATAACGACTAGAATTGCGACGATGCCCGACTGCAGGCAAACTGCGGCCCAGCTCCACATTCTCGCGCTGCGGACGCCCCACGAGCGGCCCTGAATCTCGCGCAAAGGCTTGAAAATCGCAGCCACACAGGCGGATACGTGGCCTATCTGCGGCTGCCCTAACCCAGCACAGCAATCCTGTTGCCGGAGGATTGACGGAGACGCAACCCAAGGCTCACATGCAGCAAATGAGGCCAAGAAAACCACCCTTCTGCTCTGAGTTGCGCTTAGAAAGCATTTATCATGCTTTTCGAGCCACAAAGCTCCGCAACAGAAACGCACTTACAAGCCAGAAACAGCACTTTAAGCCCGGGCAACTTAAACTTCCGAGACGCACAGAATGCGACTAGGACCCGTTTTGCCTGCATATTGAAGCAGGCGGAAAACCCTTGCAGAAGTGCAAGCAGAAGGGCTGTGGCCGCACCGCGCAAAACCAACAAATTTTTGCAGAATCCACATTTGCTGAATAATAACCTCTGAAGATGCGCTGTGAGCGGTTTTAGATTTCACAAATAACAGAGAGAGAGGGGGCTGGAAGTAGACACGAACCCAACAAACACAACCCTACCACCCCTCCCAGAAAAAGTTTGAGACAGGGTCAGGCCAAACTTGCATCCCTAACACCCTTCCCCGCCCCAAAAAGCAAAAAGAACATCTTCTCAGAAACCTTCCCCCACCCCTTCCCTCGCCCCCCAGACTCTTCCCCTTGTCCACCCTAAAGAAAACTTCCCGACCCCAACCAATGCCTTTCCACCCCGCCTTGCCTGCAAACCTCTTTGCGCCCTGAGTCAGAGATCCGCAACTCCAGAGCGACGCCGGCAGGCTTTCCTGGCAGGCAGGAGAGGCAGCCCGCATGTGGCATAAGAAGAATTCAAAGTCTTCAAGACTTTGCCAACTTCCGATTCTTACATGGCCAAGCAACCGCGCCCATTTTTCTACACAGTCCTCAACCAGCCCACGCGCAGGAGATCCAATCAATTTTGGGCCGCCCTTGGAGCGCTTCGCGGTTCCGCTTCAAGGAGAAAGCGTCCCACCCCGTCCAAGATGACACCCGCGTGCTTCCTGCGGTCAAAGTCCGCCAAGTCCATTTGTTGACTGTCTTCGACCGTGACCTCCAAGAAGCTTGGGACCAATTTGCAGGCAATTCGGCCCAAGATGTCTGCGGCAAGCATGGACTTGCCCAAGCGTGTGCCACCCACAATGGCCAGCACTGGGCGACGAAAGCTGGGTGTCCCGTCGTGCAGGCAATGAAGTCTTCAGAACAATTGCCAAACGGCTGCATCAACTTCACAAACTAGCCTTCTGCACCCCCGGCCAAGTCGTGCTCCAGCCGCTCAGCGGCACGACTTGTCGACCAGTCGCTTCTGGAAGCCGACGGTAACTAGAGCTGCCAAAGCGCAGGTACACCTCGCGGTCCAATTTGCCCGCCTTCAGGAGGTTGTCCAGCCACCAGCCCTCAACCCCGTACGACTTGAAGGGTGGGAAGTCCGTCTGCGTAAACCTCAGTTGCTGCCACTCTTTTTTCGGGGTCCAAAGATTTTGAGGTTCTGAGGTTTTGGAGTTGCTGCTGCTCCATTTGCTGCCCCCCACAGGAGTTGGAAGATTTTGAGGCTTTGAGGTTTTAAGGTTCCTGCTTCCCCACAGGAATTTGAAGATTTGAGGTTCTTGGGTTTTGAGGTTGCTGCTGCTCCCCAGAGGAAATTTGAGATTTTGAAACCTCGAAACCTCAAAAACAGAGCAAACGTGTGAGCCAACCCCAGTTTTAGTCCGGAACTTGCCCGGAGTCACCAAGGCGCAGCGTGCCCTTCTTCTCGCACACCACGTAGAAGTGCCCAAACCTCATGGCCCCGGGGTAGGACTTGCCGCTGGCGGTGTTGGGCGTTACGTGAGGCCGAATCCTTCAAAACGGAAAACTGCAAGGGCTTCAGCGCCACCTGTGGTAGGGTCTTGGAGAGGTGCAAGTAAGCATGCGTGTGGACCTGTCTAGCCGACGCCCTCTCCATCGTAGCAGACACACCTATGGCGCTCAGCTCTTGCTTCACGGCGCCAAGAAAAGTTGTGAACCGAGAAAGTCACGGAGCTGGTCTGTGTTGGAGGCAACCCGCAGAAAACTTCACACTTTCCCGCTCGCACCCAACTCTCTCTGTTATTTGTGAAAAGCTAAAACCGCTCACAGCGCAGCAGAGGTTATCATTCAGCAAATGTGGATTCTGCGAAAATTTGGTGGTTTTGCGCGGTGCGGCCACAGCCCTTCTGCTTGCACTTCTGCAATGCACTCGCCAGGCCATGATGCCCGATCCTGAAGGCGCCGTCCTTGTTTACCGAATCGCTGTGTTGAAACGACTGCGTGCATGGTGGGAAAGCGCGTGTTTTTTTGCGTTTTTTTTGCGTGCTTTTCAAGCGTTTGTTCAACCTGCCGCAGGAGTGAGCGTGGCCGGCTCGACGGGGTACATCCTGGTGGAGGAAAAGCGCTCGGGCCCGCGGCCTTTTTTTTTTTTAGTGCCGAGCGGGCACTTAGGAGTGCCGAGCGGCACTTAGGAGTGCCGAGCGGGCACTTAGGAGTGCCGAGCGGGCACTTTAGGTAAACGCAGATTAGGAGTAGGCAGTGCCGAGCGGGCACTTAGGAGTGCCGAGCGGGCACAGTGCCGAGCGGGCACTTAGGAGTGCCGAGCGGGCACGGCGCCGAGCGGGCACGTAGGATAGTACGGGTTCGCCCAACGGCACTTAGTACGGGTTCGCCCAACGACCCTTAGTACGGGTTCGCCCAACGGCACTTAGTGCGGGTTCGCCCAACTTCCACCTCGTCCAGCCGGGCCTGGAAGCCCTTGCGCACCCCCCAGAGCACGCTGGTGAGGTGCGAGTAGTCGAGGCTGACCATCTCCGTGCCGTTGCTCCACCGGGCGGTGCCCGTCAGGTTCTTCCACTTCGTTCCTGCGAAGTTGTTTGAGGCGAAGCCCAGCCTCAGGTCCTCGTTCATGTCCGGGCGTTTGTACTGCTTCCCCACGGAGTCGAAGAGCTGCTGGAGCTTTGCCACGTCGGCCTCGGCCATCTCCATCTTCACCCTGCTGTCCGACAAATTCGTGAAGCTCGTGTTGCAGACCACGTTGCCCGTGTTGCCTGCGATCACGAGGCAGCCGGGTTCCTCTAGTTTGTGGTCAAGGACAGCTGCGTCGAGAGGCTCTTCGTCTGCACCAGCGCCTCGTCGTTGATCATGATCAGCTCGCACTGGTGCGCCCCGCCGTCTCGCTCCAGGAAGACCCGCGCGCTCTGGTTGCCCAGCAGCCGCAGCTCCGGGCTGTCCGCGCGGCGCGCTGTTGTTTGGCCACACTTGCAGCTTGCTCACATCCTCCACAACACGCCCGCCCAGTTTCTGTCGTCAGGAAGAGATCGTCCGAGAAGTCGGAGGTGTTGGTCACGGTGAGCGTGTTGGAGGCGAAGAGCTGCGGCGCGGAGACCGTGCCCGAGCTCGACACGTCGCCGCACACCACGCTGCCCGTCGACACTCCGCCGCTCGTGGCCGTGAAGGTGCAGCCCAGGCTCTCGCAGTCCAGCGGGCCCGTGGAGGCCGCCCCGGTGATGGTCAGCGTGGCGCCCGTGAGCGCCCCGGTGGCTGCGAAGCTCGCCGCGGTTGCTGCGCCCGAGGCCGTCAGTGTGCCCGTGGACACGTCGCCCGCCGTGGTGAAGTTCCCGGCGTTGGCCGTGTTGTTGATGGTGAGTGTGCTGCCCGTGATTCCGGTGGCCGAGCTCAGCAGGCCCACGCTGGCCGCCCCGGTGATGCTCAGCGAACTGCCCGACACGGCGCCTGTGGACGTCAGCGTGGCTGCGACGGTGCCGGTTGCTGTGAGCGCTGCGGAGACTGCGCCCGAGGCGTCCACGCCCGTCGTGAACACATCGGTGCAGTTCACGTCGTTGCACAGCAGCTGGTCGCAGCCCACGTTGCCCTGCGCGGTGAGCCCGTCCAGCGTGGCCGAGCCTGTAACGGCCAGCGAGTCGGCCAGCAGGTCCGTCACGGAGACCGACTCTCCCTCGAAGGCGCTGGCCCTGATCTGCACGCTGTACAGGTCCAGCGTGCCCGCCGACTGCTGCACCAGCCCGGGGATCGACCCGCCGAAGGCGCCGAAGTGCAGCTTTGCGACTCCGGCCGGCGGCGCCGAGAAGTCCAGGTCCAGACGCCCTGCGCGGCCGACGCCCACGTAGTCGTTGTCGGCTGCGCTGACGTACATCACCACGTGCCCAGCCTGTAGCCGAAGGAGTAGCGTCTCCCCGGCGTCAGTGTGTAGGTGCGCACGATGTTCCACGCGAGGGCGCTCAGGGTCATGGCGTAGCCCTCCAGCTGGAAGCCTCCCACCGTGAAGCTAGCCGAGGCCACGGAGCTCTGGCTGTTGGAGCGCACTAGGAAGTTGCCCAATGTGGTGAGCGTGGGCTCCAGCAGCACCTCGCCCAGGGTGGCCAGCGTGACGTCGTCGGCCCCTCCGTCGAGGAACTCGTGCTTCAGCAGGGCTGAGGCCGCCGTGTCCTCCGCCTCCGCTGTGTTGCCGGCCTCCAGGGTTGCGTCCAGGATCTGGAGGCCGTAGACGTCCACCGTTCCTGCTGTCTGGTTGGGCAGGCCCGGCGCCTGGAAGTGCGCCCCAAAGTGCAGCTTCGCAACTCCGTTTGGCGGCACGGTGAAGTACATCTTGGCCGTGCTCCAGGCGCCCTGGTCGCCCACGAAGCTGCCGTACAGGGGGTCGTAGACGTTGTCGGCCTCGGACATCCACGAAGTTGGAGGCCGTGCCGAGCCGGTACCGGCAGGCGAAGAGGAGCTCTCGGCCGGGGCGTCAAGTTGTAGGTGCGCACAGTGTTCCACGGGTTCACTGCCAGGGTCAGGGTGTAGCCGTCCACGCTCGCTGCGCCCGCGGTGTGCGTGGCCAGGACCACGCTGCAGCCGCTGCTGGGGCGAACCGTCCAGTTTGACAGTGAGACGTCCGTGGGGCCCAGGATCTGCTCTCCTATGGCGGCCACCACCTCGTCGGCCCCCCCGTCGTCCGGAAAGCGCACGGCTATTTGCAGGGCCGAGGCTGCCTCCGTGACTCCGAGCTTGCCCGCAAGGAGGCCGTCCACCTGTGCGATGGTGTAGTAGCTGAGCAGCGCGGCTGCGATGCTCGAGGCCGTTGCCGTGTCCTGGTCGGCGGCCGAGCGGTACGCCACCAGCGCCGAGGTGATTTGGTTCCGTCCGGTAGGCCAGCAGCGCGCCCGCGATGGCCGCCTGCGTCTGTGTGTCCTGCGCGCTTGCCGTGCGGTAGTCTCCCAACAGGGCGTCCACTTGCGCCGAGGTGTGGGATCGCCGTGCTGCCGCTCCACGCATTGCCCGCACTAGCGGCATCGTTGTGGATAGGGCTGGACGGCAGTGCCACAATACGGCAGCGGCTGATGAGGCTATGCGATCCACTAGAGCCTTCTGGCAGGAAGCTCCTGTTTCCTGGGATGATCAGTGGGATGCTCTGCTTGCTGAATATGTGCCATCCCCGCTTGGACACTGCACTCTACCCACCGTTGACGACATGCTACATGCTGTCGTCCGGTCGCCTGCCAGCGCTCCTGATTTAGACAAACTACCATACGCTGCTTACCGGGCCGCGCCTATTGCTGCGCGTGTGCTCACCCAGCGCCTTCATGACTATATTAATTTACAGGCTCCCGCGCCGGTTCAAGCGCTTGTGTTCATCCCTAAGGCTGATGCAGGACCCTATGCGGATAACTTCCGCCCGTTAGGGTTACCTAACACTGCTGATCGCATCATTGGTCAGGCTGTATACGTCAAGATGTATGTTGCCCTTAGGCGCTCCCTACACCCTAGCCAAACGACAAGAGCCTTCTTGAAAACGTGGAGCACTACCGCGTAATGTGGTTGGAGGCATGATGGGCAGAACAGTGCTTCGGAGCCGTGGCGGAGGAGAGCGTCGGGTTGAAGGGGCTATCTGCGCAAGCACAGACCACAACCCACTCATCCTCACGGTACCTGTGCATACAAGGCGACACATGCTATTACCTCAGGCATTCCTCTGGCACTTGCGTCTGTGCCCGGGGTGGGCACGGGTCTCCGCAATGGATGTCTCCACCTCTTGGGAGCCTATTGCCCAATGTGCGTTAAGTTGCTTTCGTAGCGCTGGTCTCACTTAGAAAATAAACGTCCGCTTGGATATCCAAGATGGCTTTGGTTTTCTGCAAAACTGAGGTAGGGTTCAAGACACAAAAGGTAAGTTCAAGTGGTCCCGGATTTTTAGCTTCCCCAATTAAGGACGAAAAACTCGCGTCAGACAACCACGGTCCTACGATCGTCACACGTCGGTGCGTGTGACCAACTCCAACTCGTAGGCATACTACAAGGCGTAATACTCTCTGAAGGGCGGAGATTTGCGTTTGCAACTTCTTCCCATGTCTCTTCTCCCACACTTTTGGCCCCTGCAGCCCCTTCCGGCAGGCAGCCATTGGTACAGGCATGGGGCCAGCGCCTAGCCTCACAAAGTCTGACTGGGCAACCCATCCTACCTCCCAAGAACTTGCAATTGAAAGCAAAGTCTCCCAAGACCCGTACCATTTCCCATTTTATTAAGGTCCTCTGGCTAGGCAGCTTTGCATGGTAAAAACATTGGCTAATGTGCGTAATCCCAACAGCCTTTGCATTGTCACATGACTCGCCGAAAGCCGACTTACTGTCCTCATGGCGCGATATTGCAAATTCGCCTGTCCACGCAACCACTGTCAAGAAGGGTCTGAGCGAGCTGTGCTTTAAGAGGTCCTGAGATCTGCTTCCTTTGCACTCCCCGCTAGGCCCCTCCGATGGCACCGGAGGACTCCATCTCT